AAACCCACAATACTTTTGTACCAACCTGATATAAAGAAAGGCCTCCATGGCATCAGCCTGGAGGCAAGAGAGTGATTGGTGTGTCCAAGGAACAGCAAGGAGGCCACAGTGGCTGGAACAGAGTGGGGAGTGCAGGGAACTGAAATGGGGTCAGAAAGTACCAGGAAGCCAGATCTCCAAGAGCCTTGAAGGCCATGGTAGTTTCAGTTCTTGCTCTGAGTGAGGTGGGAGTTGTGGGAGCTGAGCAGAGGAGGGCCGTGATGTATTTATTTATTTTAGCAACTGCTCTGGCGCCGTGAGGTGCTGACTGTCGGGGGCAAGGCGGAGGCAGGGACCAGCAAGGAGGCAGCTGCCACGGCGGAGGCGGGATGCGACTTGGGCCTGGACCAGCCTGGGCGTGACGAGATGGAGGTGACGAGAAGCAGTCTCGTGGTGCCTGCAATTGAAGGTAGAACCCACAGGTTTTTCGGGCTGATTGAAGGTGAGGCATGTGTGAACGAGAGTTCCAGAGGATAACTTCAGTATTTGGGGCTCGACTTCTGGAGGAATGGGCGCTGTCACGTACAAAGATGGGGAAAGCGGCTGGAGAACCAGAGTTGAGGAGAAAACCAGGAGTTATTTTATTATCCTCAATTTAGCGATGAAGTCGCTCAGGTCCAAAGAGATTGACTCCCTTGCGCAGTCACCCAGCCAGCGTGGGATGGAGATGAAGTTGGAAACAGATTTGTCTGACCCCTGAGCTCCGTCCCCTCTGCAGCCTCCTACCCTAGACTAAGAAATGGCTGGGTTCAATGATCCTCAAAATGGAGTCCCCTGAGCTTTAGAAATGCAGATTCCTGGGTTCCAGCCAAGGGGGCATTTGCTACATGCCTGTGTTATTCGCATGGGTTTCCTGTCATCAAACGTGCTTTTGGCTGCAAGTAATCTACCGTCTAAAAGAGGTTATTCTGCAAGTTTCCTAGAAAGTATATCATATAATAAGAAGTTCTTAATTTGGGCTGGGCATGGTGGCTCACACCTGTAACCCCAGCACTTTGGGAGGCTGAGGCAGGAGCTTGCTTGGTGTGTTTAAGGAACAGCAAGGAGGCCACGGCGGCTGCAGCAGAGTGGGGAGAAAATGTGTACCTACTATGTGCATATTTGTCGAGCACCTACCAACAAATATGAATCACTTGAGGTCAGTAGTTGGAGACCAGCCTGGCCAACACGGTGAAACCCCATCTCTATTAAAAATATAAAAATTAACTGGGGGTGGTGGTGGGCACCTGTAATCCCAGCTACTAAGAAGGCTGAGGCAGGAGAAGAGAATCACTTGAGCCAGGGAGGCAGAGGCTGCAGTGAGCTGAGATCATGCCACTGCACTCCAGCCTGGGTCTCACAGAGTGAGACTGCCTAAAAAAAAAAAAAAATCCTGAATTTGATAATTCCAAGATTAATGGAATTAACCATCAGTTGGGCTGGTTAATCTGACAACTCAATTATGTCAGACACAAAGTTGGGGTCTCTACAATTCTCTTGATCTTTCCCTTATGATCACAAGATGGCTGCTGCAGCTCCAGACATTCTGACAACATCCAAAGATAAGACAAACAGAAGAGACGTTTCTCAAGTGTCTCTATTTTATCACACACATAAAAACTTTGTTTCAGAAGCTCCCAGGAGGCATCCACTCGCGTCTCCATGGCCACACCAGGGCAGGTTCCTGCCTATAAACCAACTACTGGCAGAAGGGGATGACTTAGCTCAATCACAGTTGATGCCCTAGAGCTGGGGCTGAAGCATCTCTCCATTGAGCACATTGTTATCTGCTGTGCACGGAACAAATTGAGTATTCTCTTAGGCAAGGAGGGAAGCTGGCTTTCCAGTAGACCGGCAATCTGTCTGCCGCAGGCCTCTGCATATGCTTTAGTGTATTATCTTTTTTTTTTTTTTGAGACGGAGTTTCGCTCTTGTTACCCAGGCTGGAGTGCAATGGCGTGATCTCGGCTCACCGCAACCTCCGCCTCCCGGGTTCAGGCAATTCTCCTGCCTCAGCCTCCTGAGGAGCTGGGACTACAGGCACGCGCCACCATGCCCAGCTAATTTTTTGTAGTTTTTAGTAGAGACGGGGTTTCACCGTGTTGACCGGGATGGTCTCGATCTCTTGACCTCGTGATTCACCCGCCTCGGCCTCCCAAAGTGCTGGGATTACAGGTGAGCCACCGTGCCCGGCCTAGTGTATTATCTTATGTGTATATGTGTAAGCTTATCGGATAAACTTGCATCCTAGTCACACAGAAGCAGCGCCAGAACTGATAGCAGATGAGGTCAGAAAGAAATTATTAAGCTTGGGTCCTTCTATCAGACCATACGAGTTACTGTTTTAAAATAAATCCCAACATCTCTGCTTGACACGGTTAGGTTGTTGTGCGTATGAGGCAGAGGTGTGAGTCGTAAAATTTAACCTTGTAAGACTGACTTCGATCTCGGTAATTGCTTTAGGCTTTCTTTTCTTTCTTTCTCTCTCTCCTTTCCAGTCCTTCACTATAGAAAGTCGTTCAGGCTTTTTTTTGCTATCTGAGAGACCCTACTTAATCCCACAATAGCCTGCAAGGTGGGTTTGATTGTATCTGCTGCATGGATGAGAACACGGGTCCGCGTGCAGCAGCCGCCCCCCACCCCCCGCCGCCAGTCCCCGCCCTCCACCAGCTCCCCCCTCCAAGGACCTAGAGTGGACTCTCACCCTGATTTCACTATGGAGCATTCAGGAAGGGAATCCTTTCATTGACAAGGCTGGCAGACTGGACCAAGTTGTAACTAAGACTTGCCCTTGTCACTCACAGGGGACCCTCAAGACTCCTCCCACCCCCGGTCTCCTGCACACACTTAAAATTACATCCTCCAAGAAAAGCTATGAAAACACATTTTACATAGATGCCTGGCGCGCCCTCCTGTGTCTCCATGGTGTAATAACATTGTAAGGTTTTCAAAACAGGTTTACAAATAACAGTGATGGCTGCTGATATCTATCAAGCGCTGATATGCCAAGCGCTGTATAAAGACATGTAAATGCACAGCTTCGGCTTTGATATAAAATTTTTCTGCTGAAGAAACTATATATGACCATGATTTAAAAAAAATTACACAGGGCACAAAGGTTTACAGCAAAGTTATCTTCCACTCCTACCCAAAAAAATTCACACAGGGTTCTGGCGCAGTGGCTCACGACTGTAATCCCAGCACTTTGGGAGGCCGAGGCAGGTGGATCACCTGAAGTCAGGAGTTCGAGACCAGCCTGGCCAACATGGTGAAACCCCGTTTCTACTAAAAATACAAAAATTAGCCGGGCTTGGTGGCACGCACCTGTTGTCCCAGCTACTTGGGAGGCTAAAGCAGGAGAATCGCTTGAACCCGTGAGGCAGAGGTTGCAGTGAGCAGAGATCGCACCACTGCACTCCAGCCTGGGTGACAGAGGGAGACTCCATTAAAAAAAAAATCACGCAGGACACAAAGGTTTACAGCAAAGTCATCTCCTCCCACTCTGTTCCGCCTGATGGGAATGGTGCACACTAATGTTGGACAGTGCACAACCTGCCCAACCTTTCACCATAACACTGAAATGGGTCCATGTGCAAATGTATCTGTGGGACAAATTCTTAGACTTGGAATTGCATGTGTATGCAGCCCTCTACTGGGGGCACTTAGTACCACTTTGAATCATAGCACTGGCACTACTTGCATTGGCAGATGCCCATTATTTCCTTCACTCGATAAACTACTATGAAGCACCTACTGGATACAGGGCACTTGACGTTGAGGTTCTCTTTGCTGGTAGCATGAGGGTAGATATGAGTTCAGACCTTATATCCTATTCTCTCAGCAATCCAGGATGTACCAAAACTTTTTCTTAGGAGCTTTAAAACTTATTCCCAGGATCTAGTATCATTGGATTTGATTGGCTTAGCTTTGGCCACACCCTCATCCCTGAACCAATCATTGTTGCTGGGATGGTGGGGATGGAGTGCTCTTATTGGCTAAATAGGAGATGGGCAGGGTCCCTGAGGAGAAGATCTGCAAGAGCTATCACCTTAGGGGCCAATGGAAGTGGATGGCGTCCAAGCAATAGATGCCCGTTTCTGTGACTCCACCCCTCACAGAAAGTCTATGGGACTCTCTGCCTTGTATGAGTGATACTGTTAGAAAGTGGCAGGAACACGAAAAGAAAACGTGGGCATTTTCCATATCTGAGTTCATGCAGGCTAGAGACAACAGCTGCAAGGCAAACACCCTGAGAAGTGGAACTGGAGGATCCAGGCGCCTGTTGAAGGGATAAATGAATGCTATGGTGTGAGGATGGGACTCTTTCTGTCTTCCGTTTGGCTGAAGCTCCAAACGCCAGGAGTAACCCACGGGTAGCAAGCACCCTTCCCTCGACCTCTGCAGGAATCGCAAAAAGCAATGTAAAAAATTGACCAGTGACTTTAGCCCAGTGCTCAAGGAGGTTGGAGAAGCTGAAAGAGAGAACTGGTTTTGATATGGTTTGGATTTGTGTCTCCACCCAAATCTCCCCTGTGTAATCCCAGTGTTGGAGGAGGGACCAGTGGGAGGTGATTGAGTCTTGGGGGCAGATTTCCCCTGCTATTCTGGTGAAAGTGAGTGAGTTCTCATGAGATCCGGTTGTTTAGAAGTGTGTAGTGTCTCCCATTTCTCACTCTTCCTCCTGCCCCAGCCATGTGAACATGTGCCTTCCTCCCCTTTGCCTTGTACAGCTTGTGGAACCATGGGCCAGCTAAACTTCTTTTCTTTGTAAATTACCCGGTCTCGGGTATTTTTTCATAGCAGTGTGAGAAAGGACTAATACAGGTTTGGAGACACGTCTTTGGAGAAACTATTATTACTCGGGGTCCTGTGGCATTTCCTTGCCATGAGCACCTCCGACGCTATGCTGAAGAAAAAGCCGTTCCAACTCTTCACCAAATGCTGAGTCTGAGAATGTGAGGAAACCACCCAAAGAGCTTGCCCTGTGTCTTCTGGAGAGACCAGGGCTAAACCTATGTCTGGGAACGGGCAGAAGTTAGGGACCATGGGCGCTCAGCCTCTGCAGAATTATGGATTAGTGCATCAGGAATGATGACCCCAGAGCAGGCCAAAGGTGTAAGTTTCTTCCAGCAGGTTCTGAACCTCAGAGGCAGCCAGCCTGGGGCTATTTGGGATTCCCAGTGCAGGACTCTCTGAAAATGTGAGGGAGCCAGATGGGGCTGCTGGACCACAGGATGCCCAGGACCCACGGGCACACTTAAGAGTGGCCGTCCAGAGGAGACACATCGCCTGCATCCCAGGAAGCAAATCTGGAGGTTGCCAGTGGAAGAAATGCCAAGAACCGCCATCCCTCGCCTGGGACACACAAACTAAGGAGAGAAGGAACTGGCCCTCTAAGCTCTGAAAGCACAACAATAGCCAAGTAAAACGACCCTGCCCCTCACCTCTTCAGAGTCCAAGGGGGCTGGGGAGGAGAAGAACTGAGAGTGGAGGAGTGGAGACGTGTAATATGAATGAAGTTCGGAGTTTTGACATGACTTGACATTTTAATGACTTAACTTAGACTGTTACGACACTCAGAAGTGACTTGGAGACGTGTTATGATTTTCATCATCACCATATCGTTATTTATCATGATCTAAGGGTGAGGAGAAGGGCCAGGGGATCTGCCTAATGGATCATTCAGGGCAGGTAAAGAACTATCCCACCAGGTGTGTTTGGATGGGAGCTGGGAGGGAAAACCAAGTTGCTACTTGCACCCCTCTAACTTCCAACTTCCACTGTTTCAACATACCAGGCACAAAAGCCAGGTAAATGACTTCAAAGATACAGGGATGATGGGGTGGGGGTGGTAGTTCTTGGTTCTCTACATTGCGTGGAACGAGGCTTTGAATCGGGTTTGAGAATGGGTGACACTGGAAGACTAGAAATCTCAGGTGCTGACATGTGGGCTGGATTACAGTTGCCTTCAAAAATTAACCCACGGTGGGATCAGACAAGTTAATATGGCCCTAGGTGCTACAATGAAAGAAAGCTTTAAATGCTGTTCAGATCATAAGACACGGGTCAAAAGAAGCAAGGAAGAGTCGATGCAAGGCAAACATTTCATACCTCCGTCCAAGAGCTACCTGATCAGGTTTCAACCATCAGGGATGCAGTGAGAACTTACTGGGTGCCCAGCACTGTGCAGACACGATTCAAGGAAAAGGTAACCAACTCTGGCATCGAAGTGCAGGGCAGCAGCCAAGTTCTTCCCCCTTATGAGCTGACATCTGATTGACAGATGGCCCCAGAGAAAGCTTCTTGGATCACATCTCAGTAACCACTGGCCCAGCCTGTCAAATCCTGAGATTTAGGATGGCATATAGGACCTTAAATCTGGAAGAACTTAGCAACTTCATAATGTCAAATCCAGGGGGAAAATATGCACACAGAGAAACCAGAAAAGCATAGAATGGTGGGGAGAAAGAAAGAAAATGAAAACACTCTGTTTCCATCGGCAGAATTAGCCTTTGCCAGGGAAACTGGAATGTTGACTTGGTAGGCACATAATTCATTTTTCTACACACGCAGAAGTAAAGTAAGAGCCAGACCCTGGGAGAAATCGCGGATACTGTTCGTAACATTGGCAAAGCAATATAATTGTGAACTCAGCCTCATGTGAAATGCTTGATAATCTCAAAAGGTAAATGCCACAGCATTTTATACACTGTGTGGTCTCAATGATGTTAGAGTGTCTATGTATCCCAATACCTGTCCTCGTTTCTAACTAGCCTGATTTATCATCATAGACAAAAGAGTAGATGAATGAATATCTGCCAAAATGTTGTTAGTAACTGGTAGAAAATGGGAAGTTTTTATTTTTAATCTTTATAGTTTTCCAAAGTACTAAAAATTATTTTGAATTTTTTTCTTTTACTGTAATAGCCCTTTGATTATAGAAGCAAGACATGAATGAGAATTCACAGAAACACATATACAGTATAGAAGTTTTATTCTTTTCTTTTTTTTTTTTTTGTGGGGGTTGGGGGGAGTGGAGACAAAGTCTTACTCTGTTGCCCAAGCTGAAGTGCAGTGCCATGATCTCGGCTCACTGCAACCTCCACCTCCCAGGTTCAAGCAATTCTCCTGCCTCAGCCTCCCAGGTAGCTGGGATTACGGGCACGAGCCACCACGCCAGGTCAATTTTTGTATTTTTAGTAAAGATGGGGTTTCATTATGTTGGCCAGGCTGGTCTCGAACTCCTGACCTCATGATCCGCCCGCCTCGGCCTCCCAAAGTGCTGGGATTACAGGCGTGAGCCACCGCGCCCGGCCCACAGACTCTTTCTATGAAACATTTATACCAGGCGTGAAAAGCGCTAGTAATCTGTACCAAACGTGGAAAAAGAGTGTCTGTGACTCTTCGCCACCTGGTGGCTCGTTTGCAGAATGCAGGCCCATTGTAACCAGATCTTCAAAAGAAGCCAGAAATACCAAGTTCTCTGCGAAATATTCCAAATTTCAAAGGCTGGCAACTAACTAAAAAATTTTAAAAGTAATGTCTGGAACAAATAACAACATTTGAGGGCCAGTGTTCAAAGCATTGAGGCCTCTGCTTTAAGAAATAGATGTTGAATGTTGCATATATTGTCAATGTCTAGGGAAGAGATGAGGAATTTTGTTCATATGCCTTCCTTCCACTGCCCCTTATTCCTCTCACCTCCTTGTTTTTATTAGTTATATTGTCACTAATTCTCTTACCAGTGGCCTTTATGGTTTTATGTAATATATTTAAACTCCATTTTCAATTCCATGAACTTTTTACAGCATC